TATTTAGCAACACCAACATTCACAATTTTATACAGGAAATGCCTGTCTTTGTTTCCCTGTGGATAACACATTTTGTAGTCATTTGAATGGCTCTGGTATGTAAAGAGTAACTCATGAAGAAATATCAGTCCATTGTTTCAAACCAATTTCACAGTTGCAGGAAAGGTGAACAAAGTTTCCATACGTGAATGAGCAAGGAAAATTTATCCTCATTCTGATCGTGAATTCCATTATACCAGACAGCTATATTGGGGGTTTTATGGAAGGGAGGGAGAAGTAGAACATAAGAACACAGGAACACAAATGTAAATGTTTCAATTTATAGGATAAAAATAAGTATCAGATTTCTTTGTCTCCCCATCAAGCTTAAATTGCTCTTCTGGGTACTAAAGAGAAAGATTGATTTTCTTGTGAAATGTAGCTCCAGCGTACTACTTTAGGCTATAAATTCTGGGTGCTGGAAACAGGGGTCAATGCATTAATGTCATAGACTAAAGGAACAAGAACATCAAAATCACTAGGCTGTGTTTCAGAGATTACTGGAAAGTCTGCCCCTTCTATTGACAATGTCACAGCAGTAGTACAGTAATATCACCACAAATGATAACCATGAAGAATTAGAAACTTTCTAAAATATATGGATATCTTCACACAAGCATGACTGGACTCCTGCAAGCGACTTTCACCAGGGTGGTTTTATACAGAATGCTGCTGAGTAGTTATGAGTCCAGACATAGAAACTTTGTGGTCACGCGAAAACAGCAATGATTTATGAGTCCATAACCATGAAGCACCATCCAGTTATCTAGTTTGCAGAATGGTCAACATGGGAACTGCTTTTTTGATGAATATCATTCAGGAAAGAATGATGACTACTTATATATACATCTGTTATTAGCTAAAAATATTCAAGAGCAAAGTGCCTAGCTATTCATAGTTTCTCTGGCTACTCTCCCAGAGGTAAATGACATGGCAGACATTTCCCATGGCAGATGTTTGGTCTGGCAACTGCAAGGACCCTAGTGTCCACTGAGGGGAGCTCTGCCTTCTCCTTATCATCCACTCCAGCATAAGCAGTATGAGCCAGTTTAATTGAAGTCAACCTACAGGCTGATTGAAACATGACAAGTTTTTTTATATGGGTATAATTTCCAGGAAGCCACGAGTGTCAAATGCTGGCAAATAGATATAGATTTATTATGTGTGTTGTGTTGGGGTGTGCTGCATATGTGTTTGTCTTCAACAAAATAATTGCACACTAAAGGTTTGTGCAAATGGACTCTCAAAATTTGCCACCTTATTTAAGGAGGGAAATTGGGGAGGGAAAACCATTGAATTGAATTTCTCAGGGTGTATGAGTGTGGGACTCACCATCAGGAATAGCACATCTCCTTTCCCCCCCTATGGTCCCCCACCCCTTTTTCACTGCTCCAATTGGAGGCAGGCCCACAAATGGGTGCAGATTGGAACATTTTGTATTCTTCACTTTCCCCAGATCTAGCATCATTCTGATACATTGTGTGATAAATCATAGGTTGCCACAAAACAAACAAACAAACTGATACCAAATACTCAAGAGAAAATTTTGCCAAGTGGCCTTCTTTATGATTGCAAATTCTGGGGAAACTTTCATCTGCACAACCTATATGTGCAAATGCCCCCTTGCTGCAGGTCTTTACTTTGTACACATGGGCTACTCAGCAAAGCACTGCTCCTTGTTTCCATGTTGCTCACTGAGGAAGGGAAGACTATCCAAACAGGACTTATGCTTACCCTCCAAGGCTGAGTCACCTCAGCCTTGGCAAAACTTTCTATGTTTTTATAAAATAAATTTTATTAGATATTAATAAAGTTACAAAGATTAATATTCTTTTTTGTCCAAACTAAAATGCTAATCTAGATAAAATAAAAACATTGATCCCAAGGAAAAGAAGAGAAAAAGAAGGGGGGAGGAGAAAGAAAAAGAAAGCAAGGAAGAAAAAAGGAGAGAGAAAGAGAGGGAGAGATAGAAGGTTTCAAAGTGAGAGAAAAGAAAGTTAAGAAACCAAATAACTTCCAATTCTTCATTTGTCAGCTATATATATATATAAGCATCATTTAACTCATCCACTCCAATATAACTTGGCCAGACTTTCTAGAAGAGGACAATGTGTCTGCAGCACAGAGTGGTGGCGTTGGGTAAAGGAGCAAATAATTATGCATAGGCTGAGGAAGAGTTAAAATGTCCACAGCTTTTATTAGTTATATCTCACAGAGTTTGGCTTGGCATAGGACAGAGATCCACTCCTTGGACTACTTGACTTTTGCCCAATACACCAGCCAACCTGGGTTTCTCGGAGTTGCATGAACCTCAGGCCCACCATGAAAAAAACTGAGACATATCAAGCAACTTGGGCATGTGGTGGCCATGCCAGTCCCCCAAGCTGAGACTGAGACCTTGAAACAACACCCCCAAATGTGAAATGGTATCAGGGCCGCCCCGCCCATGAGGCGAGGTGAGTCAGTAACTTTAGCTGGCAGATCCAGCTTCCTCTGTATCCGACCGCCACACCCACCTGGCCGCGTAATCTGTGCCTAGCCATGGCACTGGGAAGGCACAGAGGAGGCAGTGGCAGGAGGGTGTGGCGGCAGAGGGCAGTGGCGGAGGTGGTGGTCAGGCACAGAGGCAGCAGCTGCTGTGGGGTGGCCGGCATTTTCTGTTTTGCGTGAAGTACAAAATGTCCTTGGCCAGCCCTGTATGGGTTGCCTGCCACATGCTTATCCATGCTGTGGATCCAGCCACAAGCTCTAGCACCTGCGATAAAAAAATTATGACACAATATACTGAATTGGCATCAACAACAAGCAATGCTGCCCTTATTCCCTCAGAGACAGCCCTGTCTATATCCCTTCCTAGTTAAGGGGGTCCATAGATATGTCTGGCTGCCTTGCTATCATCAGTATTGCTTTTGGCACTAAGCTTCACCCCAATTAACATTTCTGAGAATCATATCACAATACTCGCTTCTCAAGCAATTTTGCATCTCAAATGTTTTGCGCCCTAAAAAAGCTATTAAGGCACTACTGTAAATAAAGGAATGACAGCATGTTCAGTTAAACTCTTTTGTTTGTCTTATGGAGAAATAATTACCAGAGAAGTATTCAACTGAATATACAGAATTCTATTAAGACTCCCCATTTTGACAACAACAAAAAATGTTTCACAATCTTAACTGAAGCTAATCAGGGGTTCTTTTTGATTTTGTGGAATAAATACAACAGAGACCATCAGTTATGATGAAGCTTGTAGAAAAAGACAGTAGGATTGCATATGGTTCTACCTCTCTTTCTTCAGAAATTCTGGCACCACTTCCCTGATTTTTGAACCTCAGATATTAAAGAAACCCTTTGCAGAGAAAGAAAAAGGCGCTGGTCGTAGAAATCACACCAATCTTTTTCTGGAAGCTGATTAAAGCAGTGTGCAGAATTCCTCTGTGCCTCTGTTCCACATGAGAACACAGGAAGCCGCCTTATTGTCACATTCACACTACACATTTAAAGCACCATGATTACCCTTTAAACTATTGTGGCTTCCCCCAAAGAATTCTGGGAGCTGTAGTTTGTTGAGGGTGCCAAGAGTTGTTAGGAGATACCTATCTTCTCCTCACAGAACTACAATTCCCAGAGTCATTTAACACTGATTCCCTCTCCCCAGGGAACTCTGGGGAGTTTAAAGTGGTGTCTTTAAATGTATAGTGTGAATGTGGCCCTTTTTTCACTGCAGCTGATGTAGCTCTGAATGCAGGTCTGAACACTGAAAGAAGCACGACAAACTCTCCCCCCCCTTCTGTTGTAATTTACACGGTAGGCACATTGCCTCAGTAATGAGGCATGTGAACTCCACATATCTGAATTGGCCAAGCACCTTACAGGTTATTGTGCTGCATGTTACACAAGCAGCCCAAAAGAAGAAGCAGAAATCACTGGTGCGTTCTCTGTCAGCACTTCCGAAATAGCTCTTCAGTTCAGTTGTTTTTTATTGTTTAGTCATTAGCCACTACAACCTTTCAACAGCTGAACCTTCCCTCACACAAGACCTTGGCTGCTAAAGCACTTGTATTAGAAAGGAGTGGGGGGGGGGATGTCTAAGAGGCAGAAAACTAGGTATCCTCAGACTGGGCCCAATCGGAAAAAACTAGTAATTAATGTATAAACACTTGTGCCACAAGCTGTGGCAATTGGCACTGGCTTGGAGGGATGTTGTTGTTGTTTAGTCGTTTAGTCATGTCCGACTCTTCGTGACCCCATGGACCAGAGCACGCCAGGCACTCCTGTCTTCCACTGCCTCCTGCAGTTTGGTCAAACTCATGTAGAAGACAGCTAAACAATATTTGGAAGATATTGCCGTAATATTAGCCATGATAATGCAATGCAAAGGCATTTTGCCTCTGGGGGCTGCTGACTTCATGCCCTGCTGTGGACTTCACAGAAACATCTGGCTGGCCACCATGGAAAATAGCAGATTGAACTGGATGGACTGTTCCCTGAGCTAGTGGGACTTTTATTATATCCCTCACTACAGCATTTCATTTTTTTCTGACTTAAAGTTGTCTCAGGAATGATAATGTATGTAGAATCATAGAACCATAGAACTGTAGAGTTGGAAGGGACTACTAGACAGGGGTGGAAGAAGGGGGTGAGGTGGGGGCAGACCATCCCAAGTGCCCTCACTGAGGATAGTGACATTCAGCGCACCGCCCACCCGCGACTCCCAAGCCTACCCTAAGCCATCGGGGTAAGGGGAGAGTTGCGCCGCTTTGCTGATGGCATTCCCCCCTTCCCCCTTTGTTTTGACAGCTTGGGGGACGCTTGTGAGTCACGGGCTCCCGAGCGGCTATCCCGGGCCTGGGAGGGCACCCTCCACGCCATGCCCCCCTTGGAAGCACACCTGTCCTGGGCAGTGCGGGCATATGCTCCGCTGCTGCTACTGGGATCATCTAGTCCAACCCCCAGCAATCTTTTGCTCAATGTGGGGCTAGAACTCACGACGCTAAGATTAATAATATCATGCTTTTCCAACTGAGCTATCAAAGAGCTAAGAAAGAATAAAAAGAGAAGCTGATCTGAAGAGATTGAGGTGAAACAGAAAACCTAGTCTAATAATAATAATAATAATAATAATAATAATAATAATATGCCACACATCTGACTGGGTTGCCCCAGCCGCTCTGGGCAGCTCCCAATAAAATAATAAAAATACAACAGAACAGCAACCTTTAAACACTTCATTGTACAGGGCTGCCTTCAGATATTTTCTATAGGATGAATAGAACAGGATGAATAAACTGAGGGTGAGCGTCAATGAATGAGTCCCATCAGTAGGAGACTATGTAAGCACGTCTGCTTGATCAATGAGGCTTTCCCTCCTCTCCTTCCCCCATGTGCCCCCACGCCCTCCAAAACTGGCTTATGGGGACAGGTATAGCTGTCAGCTTTCAGATTTGAAAATAAGGGATCAGCAGCCTCGAAAATAAGGGATCAGCAGCCTCACCTGTCCTGGGGACAGTCTACGGGATATCTAACAATCCGGGATAGCAGTGGGAAACAGCAGGAAACGGCGCTGGAATAAGGGAATTTCCCGCAAAAAAAGGGAAGGTTGACAGCTATGGGGACAGGGGAGAACCAGCAGAACAAAGCACAGGGGGAGGAGAGCCAAGCTGAGATACTTGCCCTGATGAAATGATCAACTTTCCCCTTGAATTCTCAATTTTGACACATAGTTTGTGTAGAAACAAGTAACAAGATGAAGCTAGATTGCCAACTGTTTCATACAGCTATTTTGGAGTAAACTTTGGAGAAACAAACAATGCTTAGTATCCAAATGAGTGCAATTTGGTAACAGCTCTTAAATAAAAAGGTAACAAGTTTTCCCAGCTAAAACATTTTTAATGGATGTTTCTTAGTTGGTTAATAAGGAAGATGGTACTGATTCTTTTATTTCAGCTCAGATATAAGGCCTAAGTTGGCAAAACAAATATACCCATGCACACACATTCAGCACACCCATGCTCATAAAATAAAAAGGTGATATAAAGAGAAACAACAAAGAAGAGGGAAAATACAAATCACAAGGAAATGAGAAAGAGACTTTATATAGAGAAATGTATTGAAGTTGTTATATGTACCCATTCAAACTAAACTGACCTTACTCCGTTCTTTTTATTTTGTTTCTGAAGGGTGTGTGGGCTCTGACACATGACAGCATGGATAATGAAGGGAAGTTTAGTCATAAGTAATGACCCTGTAAAACTGTATGAGTAACCATTAAAAAGCAATGGAAATTTAATTGAAGCTCACAAACAGCCTTTGTTTCACACTAACTACAAGTCTTCTCTTTGGTTAGTTAGTTGAGTTTATTAAATTTGCGGAAGGGTTCCCACAACCAAAGGTAGCCCCAAAGTGCTTCACAAGAGAATAAAAATACCAGATTGTTGTTGTTGTTTAGTCGTGTCCGACTCTTTGTGACCCCATGGACCAGAGCATGCCAGGCACTCCTGTCTTCCACTGCCTCCTGCAGTTTGGTCAAACTCATATTCGTAGCTTCAAGAACACTGTCCAACCATCTCGTCTTCTGTCGTCCCCTTCTCCTTGTGCCCTCCATCTTTCCCAACATCAGGGTCTTTTCCAGGGAGTCTTCTCTTCTCATGAGATGGCCAAAGTATTGGAGCCTCAGCTTCAGGATCTGTCCTTGCAGTAAGCACTCAGGGCTGATTTCCTTCAGAATGGATAGGTTTGATCTTCTTGCAGTCCATGGGACTCTCAAGAGTCTCCTCCAACACCATAATTCAAAAGCATCAATTCTTCGGCGATCAGCCTTCTTTATGGTCCAGCTCTCACTTCCTTACATCTCTATAAAATACCAGATTACAATATGGAATAAGATCCATCCCGACAAAGCACAGGATAGAACACCAGAAGAACCACCCCAAACCAGGCTGCTAGTGCTGTCCAAATGCCTTGGAAATAAATGTGTCTTCACTTGGCACTGAAAAGGGGATAGTGCCAGCACCAGGTGAGCTTCCCTGGGGAGGGCATGCTATAACTGGGTCAGCACATTTAAGTCAAACTTCAGCATTCTGTTGTTTGTCCTGTCCTTGTGCTCCAAGTCAATATTACTGAATCACTGAGCCTGGCATTTTGTTGAAAAGCCTCCAGCAGACATGCTTACTCCAAGACAAATTTAAAGAACTTATGGACCTCCAGGTGTTCCTGGACTCCAACTCTCATCAACCCCAATCAGCATGACCAGAGGTCAGGGATGATGGGAGTTGTAGTCCAACATCTGGAGGGTTACACATTCCCCACCCCTTCCCTCAGAAAACATACTATCCTTATTTTCCATGGAACAAAATGAAAATATATTGCCAACTGGACAGTATCTTGGGAAATCTTTTCACTCTTCATTTTCAGCGTAAATTAACATTTTTAGTGATGGGCAACAGTGTACATGCATCCTAATAATCTAAAAAGAGCATTAAAAAGAAACAATAAGTGCCTTCAGGCATACTTCTTTTCCTTCCTTGAATGTTTATTACCTGCCAACACTGTGGCATTTGATTGCAAACTGCCCTCTGCCTGAACTACATTCCTAATATGTCTGAGAATTATGCATTCAATAAATCTCAAATAAATCTCAAGAATGGCACATACATTGACTGGTGTCTCTGTGTTGTTGAGCAGAGAATCTCAGACTAACAGTGTTAGAGCTGATGAAAAGTTGCCTTAGTAACAATTGCAAAATATTTATCAAAAGTTAAATTCAGTTACAAGCCTCAGAGCTTGTCACCTATACATTTTAACAAATTAGTCCTTGATGTGCACACCTTTCAGACAAGAGAAAAGCTCTCCTTAAATTAATCTGACAATAATAGTTGTGACTATTAGGGTCCAGTTCATCAATCTTTGATTTTCTGTGGGCGTCGCTTCATTTTTCACTCTCTATCTCCAGGCAGCAAAACAATTCTGTTTATGATTGACTGTCAAAATGAAATCCAATGATCAGAACAGAAATATTCTGCTCTGAACTCCTGTATGTTTACTGAAATACAGAGAGTAAACTGGACACAATTAATCAAATCCATGGATCCAAGAGCCAGACATTTGCTAAAGGAGCTTAGGGGTTGGGATACCTTCACAGAGAGTAAGCTTGTTGAAAACTGTTCAGTATCTTCTGCTAGGCTTTATGCATCTGAATACCAGTTGCTGGAAACCACAGGAGGGAAGAGTACTGATGAACTCAGGTCTTCTTGCATGCTTTCCATAGGCACCTGGTTGGCCAATGAGAAAACAGAATGCTGGCCTAGGTGAACCATTCAGTAGGCTCTTCCTACTACTTGTCATCTAAGGGGACAATAGATTTGATTCAATTGTCCTCTTCCCTACTGATCAGTTATTTTCTAACTGCATGGGATTCTAACCACGTATTTGGTTGATGCCTAGTTTGGTCATTAAATAATAGCTACAAGCAGAAGCCCCTAGAATCGAAGTTCTGTTTGTCAAGGACAGCTATCACATTTATGCCCAAATTTCTTTGCCTTTATAGGCTTAAGACAAACCTTTCATGTTGCTCGAGCTATTTTTGAGGGGAGGGGGAGGGGGGAAAGTTCCATCTATTTAATGAAGTCATCCACCAGGCTCTAATCGGATACTGCCTGAACAGATAAAAACAACATATCCTGTCTGATGTTGTGTCCTTTGGATACCAAGATGTAGTTATGGATTTGTCAGGGCAACTTTGAAGCTCTGTGTGAAGAAATAGGATTTGACTTCTGCTTCCTTCATAGGTCTTATTTGGCTGGAGAAGATGCTATTGAATTCTTGAAAAGATCAGACATGTGAATCTCTTGAGCAATAAAGAGGATGCCATTCATTTTTCACTTGCCCCACCCTAAGAAAACAAGTGTTGCGGGGAAAGCCAAAAAACAAGCAAACAAACCAGTTAAGGATGTATAAAGGAAAAGGGAAGACTGCCATACAGAAAAATTGCATTCAATGGAATTTCATATAATTATTATTTTTCTTTTATTCCATCCCACTATTTAGAGTAGAATTAAAAAAATAATAATCTTAAACACCAGTAATTCAAATACCTGTACATTTGATATTACTGATGAGAACTCCACAACAATATAATTATCCCAACTATTATGTGGATGATAGTGTGATTTGGGGTGGGGGTGTATAATCCTAATATAGTAGATATGGGGAAAATGGCAAAAATCTAGTTAGCTCAGGACATTGAGAAAATTTATGAGACAGAAATATCAACAGCAAATAGTTTAAAGATAAACAAGTTCCTACCCAGAAATAAGCCCTGCTGAGTTCAGTGAGACTTACTCTCACATAAGTATGTGTAGCAGTCTTACAGTAGTGGGTGGCGTTAATGTGGCGCCAAACTGAGGGCTCCTCCACACTTCCTTTTGCCCAGCTGGTATATAGTACTATAATTAATATTTTAAATACATTGAAGTCAGACCTCGAAAGGAGTCTTTTCCATTCACCTGGAATAGCACTCTGAAAACAGGATTATAATTCTCCAAGACAATTAATGGCAGCACTCTCACTCACTCACAATATGAATCCTTTGGGACAGAATATCAGAATGTGTTATAGTGCTGGATCCACAGGTGCATTTGAAAAATTAAATGAGGATTTAGCTTGGGAAGGAGACAGAGAATTGGAGTTGTGATAGCTTTAGACAAAATGTCAATAGTATCGACTATAGATGAAGGGCATTTAATCGGCTCTCCATCCCAGTGCTGTCTATGGGATTCTCTATTTTCTTCAGTGTTCTTCCTCCCAATTGAGCTGATAAGGGATTAAAAATAGGAAGGCAAACGCAGGAAAGAAGTTTCATACAGCAGCAGATAGAAAGGGCAGCTTTGTGCCACCTTCCATTATTTTGAAAGATATGACGCCAATAAATCTAGTGCAGAGCAAGGGTAGCAACAAGCTTGTGTTAGTATTGGTCTTGGCCTATTTATGTGCTCTGGGAGAAAGAAGAATGATACTTGTGTTCCACTTGAGAATCATAAAA